CTCAGAAGGCTGAGGCAGAAGGATCACTTGAGCCCAGGAGTTTGAGGTTGCTTGAGCTAGGCTGACGCCATGGCACTCTAGCCCGGGCAAAAGAGTGAGACTCTGTCTCAAAAAAAAAAAAAAAAAGAATCTAAAATTGTGTAATTACTCATGCATGTACATGCTACAGTAGATTCTTTGGCACATTTTCAGTTCTTTTTCATGTTGTTGAACATAGTGCAATTTGAAAAACAAGAATTTAATAGGTTTTTGATTTTAAAGTTTGTTATTTTAGATTATAATATTCTTTCTTCTTCCTTCTTTTCTAAATTTCTTATGTATGAATTTTTATGGCATTTGTAAAAATATGTCTTTTATAAGAAAATGTCTTCCCAAAGCAATAAAGTGATATGACTTGAAATTACTATGCCTTATTCTGATGCAGTTACTACCAGTACTTTAGCTATGGGAGTAAATTTGCCTGCTCACCTAGTAGTTATCAAATCTACAATGCATTACGCTGGAGGAATGTTTGAAGAGTACAGTGAAGCAGATATTCTACAGATGATTGGTAGAGCTGGTCGACCTCAAGTAAGTGTTAGTAGCTTTGCTTTTTGTAACTTATTTTAAAGACATGGTAAAACCAAAAAATCATTTTTGTATATTTTTTTGATTAGCATTTCTTAATTAGATTGGCTTTAAAAGTAATATAACACAGAAAATCTACCTTAATGGAGGAATAAAACTAAAACAAGACACCAACTGAGGCATACTTCCTCCGTGCCCTCTATGCTCTCATTTGCTGCTGAGGGGATGGGTTTATTATGAATGGGTATGCTATTAAAGGTCTTTTTGGTTTTGAGTTTTTTTATTTTGTTTTGTTTTTTATTCTGAATGGGGAAGCTCTTGTCATTTTGGATGGGGCAGTTTTTCATTGTGTATGACTGCCATGTGCATTACAGAACATGTATTAATAGCATCCCTAGGTCCTAGAACTAAATACCAATAGTGGTTCCCAGGTATTGTGACAATTAAAAGCCAGCCCACATATATTTCAAAACATACTCCTCTGACAAATGCTTGAATGAAGTCATTCTATTTACAGGTACTAAGGAAGATTCAAGAAGAATATCTTTTCAAAGAGCATCAAAATGTTATGTTATACAAATTTATAATTTTATAGAATAAATCAGATTGTATGTAAACTACCCAAATCTTACAGTTCTTATGCAGTTACCAAAGTTTGTTTTGATTTTAACATTTGCCAAAATTATGTTACATTGAAACCGAGGTAGTATTACAGCTATACTCTTGGAAGGTTTTTAAATTAAACTTTCAATTAAAATTCAAATTCAGAAACTTTTTTAAGGCCTTTTGAACTGTTATTTAAAGCCAGGGGACTGTTTAATATAAAATGAAAGTCTCGAGTTATTGAAGACAACTGGTACCAAGATGTGCTCTTTACTAAATTTCTCTGGTTTTTTTTTCCCAGTTTGACACTACAGCAACTGCAGTTATTATGACTCGATTAAGTACAAAAGAGAAGTACATTCAAATGTTAGCTTGTAGTGACACTGTAGAAAGCAGGTAATACAGAAAATATTCCAAAAATATAATAATGCTAATATAGCCAATATTTTTCCTTTTAACATATTAAAAAGAACTTTGGTTTGGAGATTTTTAAAGACCATTTTCTTAAAAGTTTTCAACAATTTAACTAGAAATTTTGTATCTTTTTAGGGAATTTCATAGTTCTTTTTAAGAAGATAATAGTTTTATTTAGTGGTGTATCCTTGTTTATAACAAGACCTAATTTGTAATATGGCCTTAT